CCCCAAATATAATCATTTCAAAGAGGCAAATCCCTCTCCCTTGGGGAAAAATTAGGGTTAGGTTAGACTCAGTCTAGTGTTATGGCTCTGGAACAACGAGTTTTTAAAGCTCATTTTTCTCGACAGCCCCTTATAATAAGGTAATCCTCCCTCCCTTCTTACCCTTAATAAAGGACAAGCATTGTTCTGAGTTTATTGTCGTCATCTCTGCTCCAAGAGTTCTGCCCTAGCCTACCTTGGCTCTTCCAGCTTCTGCTTTTTTTTCAGACTTGGAAAGAAAAAGAAACACAAAATCAAAAACAAAAAGTTAGAATACTTGTACACATTTTTCTTTTTGTTGTCATGAACCCATAAAACTCTTTCTAATCAGACAAAATCATTGTCTCTTCTCCACCTCAGTCCTTTGATCTTTGTGGCAACATCTAATTCACACTCATTTGCTTTGGATATTTCATCCTCAGCCAGCTGTGACACCTGAGTAATTTCACATACAAAATACATTTCTGAAATATTCATATTTATCAATTTTACTAAAGTATTTTATAATTTTAAAGTACATTTAAACAGACTCCTAAATCAATTTTAAAAGGAAGATGAAAAGAAGTTTAATACACACAATAAAAAGTGTCTGCTCAATGTACATTTGTAGCATGCATAAGTAAAATACTACGAGAAGATACAAAGTAAATACCTTGGCTTTTTTCTGTTAGCAAAGTGAAATAAGTTCTAACATTTAAGTTTTACGGATGGACACTAATGAGAAAAATCAATCTTTTTAAATATACAAATGTATGGGGTACAAGTGCAATTTCATTACATGCATAGATTGTGTAATGGTCAAGTCAGGACTTTTAGGATGTCCATCACCTGAAGGATGTACTTTGTACCCATTAAGTAATTTCTCATCCTCCACCCCCTCAACCTTCCTACTTTCCATTGGCTATCATTTCACCCTCTCTATTCATGTGTACACATGTTTTAGCACCTACTTATGAGTGAGAACGTGTGACAATTGTCTTTCTGTGTCTGACATGGTTTTAAAAAAAAGTCTTGGGTTAAGATCTGAAAAAAAAAATAAGTGCAGTTGCTGACATTTTTGGGACAGCCTCACAAATAAGAAAAGAGTGAGATGACAACAAATGAAATGATTACTTAAAATTAGGTAGAATTGGATTTGAACATTAAAGAGACTTGTGGAAGAGATATTCTGAGCCGTAATAAACAGGCATATTTATGTAATAATCTTTATAAGGTAATTATTTTCCCTTTGAATATATTTGGAAAGAAAGTTTACTGGCAGATTTATTAGCAGATTTGTGGCATTTTGTCTTATCACTTGGAAGGTATTCATTCCAATCTGCAAAGGAATGCTTATTTTCCTAGTATGTGCTACGTTTTAACATCTTCATAGTTCACGTTCTAGGTACATTCTATATTCTATATGTGATCTATGTAGTAAAGATGAAAATGTGTTGTAACATTTGATGCATTCATGAGAAATTCTGTATATCATGGAAGTTATTTATATAATTTACTGACACTAAAACAGATACAATTTATTGCCAATTTAAATTTTTACATAAGAAAAGAAAATATGTGCAATTTGCAAAATAGTTCATAAAAGCTGTTAAATTTGACACATTTCCATGGCTTGCATCAATCAATCATGGAATTTTTAGTGCAAGCATTTTCAGTTTTGTACTCAATGAATACACAACAATACATAAGGCTTATTTTTCTTCTTCTTCTTATAGTTATCTCATTAAATCTGTCCAAAGAAATGCATATTTGAAAACATTTTTCCCCCATGGTAAATGTGTGAGAGCAGCAACACAGCAATGTTTTCATTTTTTTCTCAAGATTCTACTTAATATCCAAAGCATTCATATGCAAAAATTAGTGAGCCAAAAGAAGAGGGTGATTTCACAGCGGTGCTTGCTAGATTCTATTTTGCTGAATAAGAATGAACAAAAACCTAAAGGCTGACCCCATCAACTCCTCCCGTGGAGAATAAGTGTTCTCCACAGATATGGTAGGGGCCCCTTACCTGTGACAGTTATTTAGAAGACAAGAGGCTTAACCACTTTATTTAGTACTTTACTCAAAACATTAACTTAAGAGAAAAGCTGTCAGTGCTGGGGAGGAGGCGAGGATTGGGATAGGCAGAAAATCAGAGGTACCAGGGCCAACCTGATTCATCTGGCAAAGTTTTCCTTGGCTAATATTATTAATGACAATCCTTTTCTCCGTCTGCTACTAAGCTTGGATGGGATGGAATGGATGGGATATTGGTAGGGTTGCAAGATTTAGCAAATACAAACACAGGACGCTCAGTTAAACTTGATTTCAGATAAACAATATATAATTTTGTCAATGAATGAATATTTTTCAATGATCCAAGATACAAATTTAACTGTACATTCTGTAATTTCCTCAACAGCCTTAGATGTGGGGAGAGAGCATGGACAAGGACAAGCTTGTAAAGAAGAAAGGAAAAGGAGGTGCATGATAGCCAAGGTCATATCACCATTCCATGAAAAGCCTCCCTACCAGTCCCTATCTTGCATAATTTTCCTTCTCCATCACCATTTCAGGCCTATGTTGAATATTCCTCATGAATTCTGAGTCTCTTGTACTCTAATACAAATTTGAAAGCCTTATTTGAGTTAAGAGCCACAAATGTATTTTACTACATTTTGTTATCCAAACTGTTTTTATGTGAGGCTATGTTTTGTTGAAACCTCCTCCTGATGACCACACATTGTTTTAATCCTTCACTGGACAGAACATTCCCCTATTGTGAACATTGTTTGTCTTCTGCAATCTAGAAATAATTGGTACAAATGAGGAGAGGAGGCACCCAAACTGCCCTGAGCTGAATGCTTTTACATATGCCAAATGCTTTTGCAACATGTCTAAAAAAAATGTAACTCTCCTCCTAAACCAACACCTTAGTTTTACTTCTCCAAAATGCATTTGTTGCTATTACATATACAATATGTATTTTGGACAACTTACTCAAGGCTGATGCTACAACAAGATTCTTTAACTCATTCCAGCCAAACTTTATAAATGCGGAGAATGTTGACCATCATGGCTGATAAGATGATAGTACACCTGAGAATCTCAGTTCAATCAGCAATCTAAATTGAGTTTGCACTTTGTTCTGCATGCATCTGTTTCACCTATCATTACTAGGGCCAAGTGGAGTGCAGGTCAATGTTTAGAGACATCCAAAGTACGGTCTATGGTCGTGTTCATGTTGGATCTGGTTGAACTACTGGAAGTTAGAGAGTTAAGGAGAAGCTCTTCACCATTTCTTCAATGAACTCATGCTTTGGCTCTCCCCCATGCATATAGAATGCAGCTCACATAAAGAGTGAGTGCATGATGTGATCTCATCCTGTAGTTGGACATTACTTTGTTGGCTCCCACACTTAAAGCAATTTGAATTTCTCAGCAGCCATACATCACCAATTTTGACAGAATTTGCAGGTTTGTTCTTTACTCCCAGCCTAATGGATGAAATGAAACTTGGTGAGCTCCCAGAGTTGGACAACCTTCAGAATGCTGAGACATACTAAATGAAGGAAAAAAGTCCTTTTGTGAATTCTCCAAAACTGAGACCTCCCAGTGACTATGGCAAGGTCCTGTTGTTTCAGTGAAAAGTTGTTGAACTTTGTGAACCAGTAAGTGATCTCTACACTTACAAAAGCTTCTGAGATTCCAAAACCCTTTGTTCATCCCTTTTGTTTTTCCAGGCAAAGAAAATGGCATTTTAATAGCGGCACCTTCACTAGTAAAATGACTTGCACATGCAAAGTAGATTCTCAGTGAATATTTGTTCATTCCTGATTATCCCCAAGAGAACAGACACATTATAAAACCACTTCAAATTGTTCAGGTTGGGATTTTTTGTTTGGACTTTTGCTCTTTATTTGTCCACTTAGTTGAAATCCCATCTTAATGCCCTTTGATTAAGATTGGTTACAAGATTAATAGCTCCAAATCTATTCTTGTTGTGCTTGTATATTTGTAGTGGCATCAAACAACACAGTTTTCAATGAATGACTCTTCCAATATATCAGTTAGATTTACTATTTCAGATGGAATTTTAAAAATCTGTCTGAAAAGTACAGATTTCTTACTAGTATACTCTACTTCTTAGCAGACCAGAAATAGTATACAAATATCTCATATTTATTTTTCATATGCTATAATTTTGACCTTGCCTCTGATAATGATTGGTATATAAAAATAGAAAAGAGCCATTGACCCAGATAAAACAATTTTTTTAAATGCTGAGAGTAGGGTTTGATTTTAGATTGGATGCTGTTTTTTTGCTTCCTCAAATAAAAATCATATCAAGTAGGAAATCTAATAAACATCCTAATGGGCTGAAAACATTGTTTCTCATAATTGAGCTTGCTTTCTTTATTTATTAGTTAAGCTCAGCCAGGATGGTGGGCAGGCTGGCATGGAATTGATGTGTCTTGATGTATTATGAAACATTACAGCTGAGCTCTACAGCCTTTGGGCTGAGGTCAAGTGAAGGTGGAAGAGATGATTTCGTGCAGGCTCCTGCCAGAAGCTTGATATCCAATGTTGACTGCTGACAACAAGCCAAGTGAATTCACTAAAGTTTGGACACTGTACAACAAGTTTGGTGCCTCTTGTGACTGTGTAATTGGTCTGTACACTCCAGATTAGACTATTTATAAACACTGAGGAATTTTCCGGGCAATGCAAATTTCACTACACATGCACAGAGGTACTTGGCAGTATTCACGGACAATCCCATTGACCGACTCTGAGGTGTACATGTTAAGATTAATAAATATAATTGGCTCCTTGCACTTTGTATGAAGATGAATTTTAGTGTTAAACGTCATCCTTCAGATAAAATGATCACTTCTGTCAGAATAATTTCCTTCCTTATTTGCATGTTGTCTGTCCACTCCCATTTGCGAATATAAAGTCCACGAACCTGGAGACTGTTGTCTGTTTTGTTCACTGCTGTATTCCCCAGCACAGAGAAGACACCCTGGGCCCTAAGGGGCTTTAAGAAATATTTATCCAATGAATGAGAAGTGATGGAAGTGAGGAACACTAAACTCAAGTTAGTGGTTACCACTGGATAAAGGAAAGAAATAAAACTGCAAGAGGAACACAAGGCACCACCTGTATCTACAATACTGTATCGCCATAAGAAAACCCTGATATAAAACATGCCAAAATACTGAGCTCTGGCAAGAAACAAAAAGCAAACAAATTCAGCCACAGCTAAAGGTATGACATTAATAAATAATTTGCACAATTGGTTAGAGCACATGTTATGCAGTGAAAAATTATATATGGTTTCAATTCATATAGAGAAAAAGGCAGAATTGTTTTTCTTCTTGCTTTGTCTTTCAAGTTTATTTCTCTTAAAGTTAACTCTTATCAATTGTGTTTATGACTCTATTTAGTTACAAAGGTCATCAGAACTAACATTTTAATTGCTTAATTTATATAATATCTTTCTGATTGAAAATTATAATTGACAGTTTCAGATTATGTAATATAGTCAAAGGTTTAATATTTATCTGCAGATTTGGTCAGTTTAAATTATTCAAGCCCATAGTGACTTGAAAGTCCAAATTCTGTATGAAAGTGCTTAATTTATTAAATAGAGTAAATTATCTTTTTAATAATGTTTATTAATTAAATTATTTAAATCATTTTCTTTTTTTCATAGCTTCCTTCATAGACAACATAATTTGAAGTCTGTAGAAAGCTTCTTGACACATATTACATTCTAGATTTTATTCATTTATAAAAATATATCTTCTGTCTCTTGGATTATACATTATATTTTTAAATGTTGAACATCTTTCTATTGCTTTTCTGAATATGGCCATGCCAAACAAATAATAAGCAGACTGAAAATAGAAATGTTTAATTTCATGTATTGACAATGGCATGTTTAGAGCTAAATTACTTCATTGGCAAATGTTTAACCGTTGAAGATTTTTCTTCCTTTCTATCTTCATCTCTCCATGCTCTGCATGAATTCTGTGGTCTCCATAGGAAGTCGTAAAACAATCTATGGTACCCCAAAAGCGGTCTTGAGGGGATTTCACAGAGCAAGTATCAGAACATGTTACAACTCATTTCTAAAGAAGTTCCCCTAAGCTTCCTGTCTATACCATAAACAATGGTCTGCTGGTCTCCTCTTCATTCATGCATCCATTCATCCAAGATACTTTCTGGATGTCCCTGTCTTCAGGAAGAAGGGCCTAATAGTCCAATATTATGTGGGAATTGCCACTGGATAGAAACATTCTTCTCTTTGCATAAAGTCACATGGCAAGCATAACGATCCCCCTTTCCATCTTTTGAGATTATATTTTACTCCAGTGGGATGACAATAAATGAGGAGAAAAGGATCCCCCAAAAGTCATGCAGAAAAAGAGTTTTAAGATTCGTAGAAGGCTGTTCAATTCCTGTTATTTGAAATATCCAAAATTTGTGAAAGATCCTTTCTATGGCTTTTCTTGAATACTTTTGCATAAAACTTTTCTTACCCACACAGGCCTGATAGACTTTCTTATTTTATATGCCTTTGCTCCTAATGTGCCTTTTGGCTAGAATGACTTTACCTCCTCTGCCAGATGGAATATGATCCATCCTCCAAGGTTCAGTTTAAATGGAACCAAATCCCCTCTTCAAACCCTTCTCTAATTATTCTGGCAAGAGTCATTTCTCCTTCCTCTTAATTTCCTTATCTTCTTTATTTACTGATACGATGACCTTTAGACAGTCTCAACATATATAATAACTATGTGTGTGCTTCAGATGATAAGCTTTTAGGAAGGAGTGGGTATTATTTATCTTTGAACTCACCACCTTTCCCAGACAAATATTTTGCATGCACTAGGCTGTCAATACATGCATGCTGAGCACTAATTGAATATTATCTCCCTCTTTTCCATACAAGGAAGAGCTCAAAAATTACAATTCGCCAGCCTATCTTTTCTGATCACCAGGTGTCTATCTCCTTTAAAAATAAAAGGCTGGAGATTCAGCCTATCTAAAAAACAAAACAAAACAAAACAAAATCAACCCACCACTAGTAATGGCAGCTATATACCAGATGTTACACTGTCTAAGCTCCAGGAATACAGCTAACCTGGTTTCCCAGGAACTTTGGCATTGTTGAATGCTTGACTCTGCATTAAAATTCTGAGCATCAGCATTAAGGGGCTGATTAGTGAACTGATGGTTCAGAATATTTAATCTTCCTACCTCTTTCCCTGTTCTGCTTAACCCTTAGGTAAAATGTGGCAACAGAAAAGTTGGAACTAAAGTTCTGACCAAAGAATATCTGGGGAAAGAGAGTGGATGGATTAAAATGATAGTCTCACTTTGAATTACTTGCGTATTTTGATTATAAATCAAATTTAAATGACAAATATCCCAGTTAGACCTTCCACTTAAGTAATTTTAATTTATATGTATTTTGTTTGTTTGTTTTCTGGACATCCTTGTCTAAACATGTTGTAATCTAGGGCACCAGATGTAATTTTCCTTTCTGAAGTACTTCATTAGCCATGTGTATTGTGCTAGATCATATTTTCTCAAAAAAAATTCTGTCTTTCTTATGGGTGAGAAGTCATATCCAGGTGACATAGTGTTAGAACTCAGCTTTGGAATCTGGGTTTTCTGTTTTCTAAATCAGAACTTTATACATGTGTTAAAAAGCCAGATGCCATTAAATATCAAGCTTCTTTAGGGCACACACACACACACACACACAGAGATTCCATTAGCAAATATTTTAACTCCACTGGAATTTTTCCAGAATGGATCTATTACCCAATGTAAGAGAAAGAAATAATAAGATAAATGTAATAGATTTAAAACAAAGGTAAGGAAAACAGTCTGGCAGTTTGTCAAAAGGGTAAAAATAGAGTTAATATGACCTAGCAATTCCACTCCAAGGTACACATCCAAGAAAAAACAAGCAAACAAACATACACCTACACAAAAACATGTACATGAAAGTTCACAATTGCACTATTTATAATAGCCCAAAAAAGTAGAAACAACCCTAATGTCCATCAGCTGATGAATGGACAAACAAAATATTGTGTCTTCATACAACTGAATGCTATGTAGTTATAAGAAGGAATGAAGTACTGAGGCATGCCACAGCATGCATGAACCTTGAAGACATTATCTGCAAAGGAGATCATATATTTGATGATTTTATTTATATGAAGTGTCCAGAATAGACAAATCTGAAGATTCAGAAAACAGTGCCTACCAATGGTGCAGGAGGGGTTCAAGGCTGGAGGGAAATGTGAAGTGACTGTAATTACATATGAGTCTCCTTTTGGGCTATTGAATATGTTCCAAAATTGACTGTGGTGATGGATAATTGTTCAACTTTATGAATATACCCATAGCCATTACATTGTGTATTTATTTAAATGGGTAAATTGCATGGTCTGTGAATTATATGTCAATAAAGGTGTTACAAACATACTTTTAAAAAGGTGAGCTTATAGGGGCTTAACATTCATTTATTCATTTATCATTCACTATTTTATTCATTCATGTATGCGCATGCACTACCCAAGATTGGCCTTCTCTGGCATTGTCACCTCTCTATCTCCATCTCTACCTCTAGACTGAGAATGTCCTCACAACACCCCTCAATTATCTTTCAGAGCATATACCACATTTCTAATCATGCTGCAGTCTTTATGACAAAGGATCTCACCTATTCTGATCACTGATGTGTCTGTGGTACCTACTATAATGGGCATGGCTCATGAAAATAGTTTCAATTATTAAAATATGAAATGTTGCATATTATTAATAAATGGAAAGACCCTAAAACATCCTAAGAGATCAAATAAATATAATTGTATGAATGTATACACGTTAATAATAAAAAGGAAGAGCAGAAAAGATTAATTTTCTTTCAGTTGGAATTTAATCCCAAATCATCCAAGTTTATATAAGCCATGCTTGAGCTCAAAAGAGATCATAGCTGGATTTCAAGGAGAAAATAATGTTCTTGATATTATGTGCAAAATTTTCTTGGTATATCTACTTTCTCTGGGAGACTATATATTTGTTATCAAATTTTTAAATAGTAAATGAGCCCCAAGAAGCCACTGCTAGATCTTGATCAAAAAGGCCCCAAATGGGAGTGAAATTCAGTACATGAATAGTCCACCTTTTCACTGTCTCTGTCTAATCCAAAACCAATTCCTACTGATAATAACACTTAAATACAAACTGAATATTCCGCCATTTTTATTTCTACTTCCATTGCTTTGTCTCTGGCATTTGCAGTTTCCTGCCTAGACCACTGTAACTGCAGCCTAACTACCCTCCCTACCAGCAGGAGAGAGAAGCTCACATTCTTCTTCAGTGAATTAGTGATTCACAGATGCCATGGCAAAGAAAACCCTTGAGTGGCTAACTACAGTATGCATATCTGCAACTATGACTGTTTTACTTTCTCTTTTTTCAGTTAGTACATATAAAGAGATGATCGGACACCTATCAACAAAGACCACGATTAATCATCTTTATGTTCATGTCTGGAACATAGTAGATGTATAGTTATTTGTTTAGTTGAATGGATCTGTCACTCCTAAAAGCCTAATACATGCTTTGTATATGAGAAAGGTTTAATAATGTTAAACAAATGAATGGTATTTCTATATGCTATATATTCACATAGATGCATATTCTATGTGTTCATTATTTAGTCTTTCTTCTAAAGTCCTCCTTGGATGGGGTGAGAAAGCAAAAACCTTGAAAACAGCAGGAGTCTACTTCTACATATGGTGCTTTAAGAAACTGATGTGTCTTAAAACCAAAGCAAATCCCATTAACAGAATAAAACCCCAGTATACACTTACAGTGCTGAGAAGATGATATTTAATGGAATCCTGTAAGTAGCTACCTTGAAATTGCCATCTTGTTCCAAGAAGGTTTCTAGATTATTTTAGTATTTTTATGTAAATTTATAATACCTTGAATTCTAAAAGCTGTTTTATCAAGAATTTTTCCACTGTGTAGAATTAGCCTATTAGGTTTATTCCATTTTTACCTTTCTTGTAAAGATTTAATACATATTTAGTTATGACCTAATAAAGACCTTGTACAACAAAACATACTGATGCTCAAGTAGCTGCTCTATTGTAGTGCGATAAGCAGCACAAAGGGCTTATTTTGTTCCCGCTTCTGGTTCTGTATTGGCTCATTACCAGAGACATTTAACTCAGATAGCTAGATCTACTGTGTGTCCTTTGGTAGACAACAAATTTTCAAAAGAGGGGGTAAACGCTTAGATTTTAAAAAGTCCAACATATCATTATAACTAAAATATACAAATGAAAATGCATTTTAAATCTTTAAAGAGCACATCTGTGTTAGGTTATCAGTGTTCAATCACCTTACATTATGTTATACACAATGAGCAACTGCACAGCTCCAACCTCCAAAACAACATTTAGCAAAATAAATCCCCAGAAATCCATCAACCACAGAAATGTGCTTCTCATGTTCTCTGGTGGCACTTCCCTTCCTGGTACCCTAGTCTTTCCATTCAGCAATTAACTATTAACATTGGGTAACTCTTTGAGTCTTGATTTCATCATATTTTGTAAAGAATCTAGAGTCTTTGTTTGCATTAAAGTCATGGAGGTTAAAGTAGAAGAAGTATTGAGGCACTTTCTGGTTGCTAGGTCTAGTAGTTCAGAATTTACCCAGTACTCTCAGGCTAAATAAGGCCAATTTTAACAAGATAAAGGTAAGTTTATGCATGGTCTCCCGACTTTGTGTTCATGTTCAGAATCTACTTCTATAATACCACAATAAGCAGTTCAAGCAAAGATTACCACTAGTCTTACTATTCAAATCTAATTGAAATTGTTAATATTTAACTACATTCTTGTTTTTAAATTTCTTAATATTTGAGCTTGTTTTGCATTTTCTTCTTTCTCCAACTTCTGGGTACTTCACATTCTAGAGTTCTTCCTTTACGTCAATTCTTCTTTCTCAACTTTGTTGCTGGCTCCCCTTCCTCTCTTGGCTACTTACATACTAACATCTATTCCACACCCAACCAGACTTTCCCTTGGCCTTTTTCCTCATTTTAAATATTATTCGATTGTGATCAGATTCATTTCCATGAATGAACGATTCACCCCAAAATAATATACTGTAGGTATTTCCAACCCAACACATTTTAAATTAGATTAATCTTTTCCTTCAAACATGGACCTATTAAGAGGTCAAGTACTTTACCTTTCAGTGTTAGTAGTTTTCTGTTGCTTGTAATAGAATATCTGAAATTAGGTAATTTATAGAGAAAAATAATTTTTTTCTTACAGAAATGGAGGCGGAAAATTTCATGGTTAATGGACTGCATCTAGTGATGGCCTTCTTGCGGATGGGAAGTCTGCAGATAGTTCCCAAGCAGCACAGGACATCACATGGCAAGGCAACTGAGTATACAAGCTCAGATCTCTCTTCCTCTTCTTATAAAACCACCAGTCCCACTCTCATGATAACCCATTCATCTAATAATCTAGGAATGAATTAATCTATTCGTGAAGGCAGAGCCTTCATGTCCCAATCACCTCTTAAAGGCCACACCTCTCAACACTGCCACGTTAGGAATTACATTTCAACATGAGTTTTGGAGGGAATAAACATTCAAACCATAGCAATAACTAAGTGATTTTGAAGAAATTGGACGAGTATTACAAATAACAGAGCTGAAAATGACTACTTAACAAAAATTTGGGTATACATAATTGTTAAAGCTGATATCAAGAGAAGTTATACCATTGCTTTTCAACAAAACATTGCTTAAAACCTCTGTTCACAGAATGCTGGCATGATGAACTTTGGGTCTGACTCAAGATGAAAACTCCTGAATTCACAAAAATGTAATGATATGGTAAGTATTTTATATTGTGTAAAGCAACAAATTTTCAACCCAGAATCCTGAGAAAGATCCCATTTCTAGGTACTGTATGTAAGAATCTTACTGCTGGGGTTGGAACATCAAAGAAAAAAGACTAGGGGTTTTTAATCTAGTGTGAAAAATGCTTCAAATGTTACAATATATGTTATACATGAAAAACATATACTTATTTGAAATTTTAAATAACATTAAAGAAAGACTTCAGATTTTCATATTTAACTAGTAGCACTTTGTTTTTTGAGTCATTATGCTTGAATTGACTCTTCTGGCATTGATGCCTGCATTCTTCAAAGCTTCCTTAATCAGCAGGATTTCAGAATGGAATTAATTCTTAATTATCTGCAGTAATGGAGAGCATAAACAGAATAGAAAACAAAATAGTACCAGCAAAAGTAAGTAACATTATATAAAAAGGAATTTGTTACTCAAAATGTATCAAATATCTAAATGTATAAAACAAAACCATACAATTTTTAGAAGAAAACATAAGTGTAAATCTTCTTGACTTTGAATTAAGCAATGGTTTCTTAAATATGATACAAAGAGCACAAATAACAAAAGTAGATAGAGATAACTGGACTTCATCAAAATTTAAAACTTTTGTACATCAAAGGACACTATCAAGAAAGTAAAAACAAAACCCACAGAATGGGAGAAAAATCTTTTAAAAATATGTCTGATAAAGATCTAGTATCTGGACTATATCAAGAACTCATAACTCAGCAATACAAAGAAAAACGACCCAATTAAAAATTTGTCAAAGTATTTGAATAGATGTTCCTTCAAAGAAAATATACAAATGACCAATTAGTAAATGAAAAAATGTTTAGCATTATTAGTCATTTGAAAAATGTAAATCAAAACCGCAGTGAGATCTGAGGTGCCACCTAACACTATTTCCTATATTTATGTATATGAAAATAACAAGTGTGGTAAGGATGTGGAAACTCTTTCATATATTGCTGGTGAGGCTACAAAATGATGCAGGCACTGTGGACAACAATTTCGCAGTTCCTCAAAGAGTTAAACACATCATATGTTCACAGAAAAACTTATACTCAAATATTTACACCGTCATTGTTTATAATAGCCAAATGTGGAAACAATTCAAATGTTCATCAAATGATGAATGGATTAGCCAAATATGACACATCCACTCAATAGAATGTGAGTCAACCATTTTAGGAATGAAGTACCAATGCATTCTCCCACAAGGATGAACCTTGAAAACATTACGCTAAGTGAAAGAAGTCAGTCACAAATGGCCACTATTGTATAATTCCATTTATATGAAATGTCAAGAGAAGGAAAATCCATACAGACACAAGGCAGACTAGTGATTACCAAGGGACAGTGTGTATATGTGGTTTCTCTTTGGGGTGATGAAAAAGATCTGGAATTAGATAGATGGTTGTACAATATTGTGAGTATACCAAAGATCAATTCATTGTATATTTTAAAAAGGTTAAAATAATGAATTTATGTTATGTGAAATTTTTGTCAATAAGAACATTATTTTCAAGTAATTAGAATGTTGTATTTATTCAGCTTTAGAAGGGAATCAGAAAGCCCAAGGGAGCGTGCATACATTCACTCTGTCATGCCTTCTTTATGTCTAGTTAGGCCTCTGGCAGACTGCTTCATTAAAGCAAGTCATTGTTGATAAGCCACAATGTATAGAAGCCACGAGTACTCTTTTTCAGTCAAAGTTTTATTGAGAAAGAAATAGCATTTCTAGATATTCAAAGCAGAAAGGGATTTAACATAAGGACTTTGGTGTATTAAACATCATTTAAGAATGGAGAGGACGACACCAGCTCTCCAGACTACCAGGGATTTCCAAAGAATCAGGAAGTTTCTCTGGACACCCAGGTTAAGAATGGTGCCAAACTACTACCAAATGTCCCAGTTCCTGGAGCGCTCACACAGGCCATTCACAGAGCAATGCCTAATGCCAGAGGCTGCCACAAAACTCTTGTTTTGCAAGGCCCATGTCTCTTACTAGATTTGAGCAGCTTTTTTTTCTTTTCTTTTTTTGGCAGAACAGGAAATGCAACTAGAATCCTAGGAACAAAAGAATCTTGGAAATGTTGCTTATACGCTTCTACAGTTCTTGTAGAGAGAAGAAAGCACAGAAAGAAGTAGGGATACATTGTAGTTGCCAAAAAAACAAAAACAAAAAAAGCCTGTTCATTTTCCAACAGTTAACTGCAATTAAAATACTAAGTTCTTACAAATGTCATCATTCAGGTTGGCAGACATTAACCCCAAATTACATGTTTGCCCCCCACCCCCACTTCTTTTCCTTACAAGAGCTATAAAATCAATGTAAATTATTTAGGCCTATGGACTATATTGTGGAAAACATTTTTTCCACTGGTTTTCATTCTTTCACAAATAAACTTTCTTCATAGCAACTGACCTTCACCAAATCATGTTGCAAGTAGATGTTTAAAGAAAGCAAAAATTCAAATGAAAGCTTCATCTCTTTGGTTCATTTCAAGTATACTATGGGGGGCTCTTTTTTTGTTGTTTTTGTCTTGATACTTTTTCTCAATCTGGATTTCTGGAACAATCTAACCTGGATGATGTTGAAACCTGGTAATTGGGGAAAAATCAATGTATATGGAGGAGATAGGGTTTAAATCATTACCCAAATGTAGTTAAGGTTACATGAATTCCCTAAAATGAATTTAGGTTTGGGAAGACTAAATTCTGGACTAGCTAAAGAGTTAAAATTTTCATGATCCTCTTGAAAGACAATTTACAGTGTATTAATGAATTAAAAACTAGCAAAATCATCCCTTCATGAAAAATATTAGAAGGCAGAGTCACATTTTAATTTGTTTTTATTTATTTATTTAATTAATTTTTTTTTTTTTTTGAGATGGAGTCTCACTCTGTCACCTAGGCTGGAGTGCTGTGGTGCAATCTCAGCTCACTGCAACCTCCACCTCCCTGGTTCAAGCAATTCTCCTTCCTCAGCCTCCCAAGTAACTGGGATTACAAGCACTTGCTACCACAGCTAATTTTTGTATTTTTAGTGGAGTCAGGGTTTCTCGATGTTGGCCTAGCGGGTCTCAAACTCCTGACCTCAGGTGATATTCCTGCCTCAGCCTCCCAAAGTGCTTGGATTACAGGCGTGAGCCACCGCACCTGGCCTAATTTTAGGTAAAATGAGACAGGATTCTTTTAACTTACAAATGGTAAAGCTAATAATTTCTGCATGGGTACTTTTGACATTGTAACCTAATTGCAGTTATATTATTCTCTTATGTTTGAAATGAATATTTCTAGATTAATTTTGGATAAAATTTTAAAGGAAAAGTAGGTTACTGTTTACTTTGGGCTTTAATAATAGAATCAATAACACTTATTTACTTTGAACTATGGGTCCCTAAACAAGCATGAGTGCTAGCTAATACTTAGATTTTTATATTTTTCTCTTTGCATTGTGTAAGATAACAATCTGGCCTTATTCTTCTACAGAATGACCTCATTGTTGGCTCATGAAGTAAATGAAATAATACTAATAATTCATGTAAGATATTTTAATATAAATTTATTTGAGTTGGAAAACATTTCTTGTCTCTAAGCACGTAAGAAAACTTTTGTGGCATAGCAGTCATATTATTAATACAGTATTTATCTTTATTTTAGGCTCTCTTAATTTCCTACCACAAAGTAAAATTACAAATGCAAAATAAAATAGAATAAATAAAATTTTTAAAAGATTACACATGAGAAGTACTTCAAAATGGATTATTAATTAATTAGAACATTCCACAAACTATTATATACTTCTAAAATAGAAGCACATTTTAAAAAAGTCCACATCAAGGTTTAAAACATAGAGAACTGAACCAAATAATTTATAATGACTATCAAGTGAGTTTCTGCAGGGCTGGGATCTTATACTTTTATTCATTGTATCCCAGAAGTAGTCTGGGATGTTCAATTAAAAAAAGTGTTGTATTATTTGTAAATTTTAATATTGTTAATGGGTTACAGCATTAAGTAGATATATTATTTCAAGATCAAAATTATGTTTCTTGCTGGGTGTGATGGCACGAACCTCTAGTCCTAGTTATTTGGAGGGCGGAGGTAGGAGGATCACTAGAGTCCAGAAGTTTGACTTCTGCCTGGGCAACATAGCAAGACCTACCTCAAAAATATTTTTGTTTCCTGTTAAGCAGGGTCAATTAGCATATGTTAGCCTTCTTATCTCCAGTGATAAACTTGCATACTTTTACTTTACATTGGGAATAACACTTCTTTTTAAAACACAAGATCTGTCTTAAATAAAGATTATAGGCTATTGCATCTTTAGATAACATACACCATTTCCCCCTGTGATGTTTATTTATTATCGAATATATTTATTTATGTGGTCTTAATTGTGAGAAAATAGGTTAATATATAAGCAAACAAACACACTTTTAATAAGTATGAAATAGAAAGAGTATTTCTCTATCCTTCTAGCATGAGTGAGCCATTAAGATCCATTATAAATATTGATTCCTTTCAAAGTTCTTGCTTAATAGTGTAGTGATTTGCTCCTTGAGGTTGCTTGAGCCTCTGCTCTGCAGGTCAGAAATCTGGTCCAGGAGAATTCCTGCATCTCTGAGCCCATATACTGAGAGGAGAAGAATTTTAAAATCAAACACCTTAGAATTCAATCAACTACTTTCATGACACTTCAGAAACTACCATTACATTTGACTACATAGGTAGCACATAAGCAAAAATAATTTGACAGACAAAAATAGACGACAACATTATTAAATATCAACCTGTCTTTAGAAGCTGAATTGACAATGATGTTTGTAAGTTTTAGAGTTAGATTAAATACAAATGAGTTTTTCCACACTAATTTGCCACAAATGTCCTTGCAAAGATGTTAAAGTAATTTAGCTAGTCTTGCTTACGAACCACACTCAAAATTAAGAAAAATTAAGAAAAACATGCCTCTTTATCAAAAAATGAATAGAGAGAAAACCAAGAGAGGCTTGAAGACACAGAAATCAGACATTGCCCTTCAGTCATCCATAATATGAAGAGTTTATCTTAAATATATTTTGGGATATAACTTTTATCTAGTGGAGTGAACTCACTAAGAGTCATAGAAATTTACAGATTTAAATATAATTGTTCTGGAAGAAGTACTACCAGCTTTAACTCTAAAGAACAGAGATAGTACAAAATGAAAAGAGCTTTTAGGCTTCCAACTTATTATGGACAAGAAGCAGTTGAGAAGGAAATTCAGTTGCAAACTCACTTTTATTATGGAAAAGGACAGGACCAAGAACCCAGAGGGTATATCTAGTAGCCACAGTTAATCATTCTTGGGGACCAGGACCAGGCTCTGATAAGGAAGTGGCAACATATGCCAGCACCAGTCATGAACCAGCCACTATCACATCCATATTCATCCTTTGTGAAAGGGAATATCTATTGTGGGTATTCTATGTTGGCTGTATGGGGGGTGGAGAAGATAGTATGTCTCTGTAATCCACAGGTCTTCAGTTTGAGAGGAGCTGTGTCTGAGGAACTGCATTTGCACCTGGACCTGAAGTACATGACATGATCCTGAAGCCACAGCCTAAGCTTGATGTTGTAATAAATAAGGCTCTTGAGAGTGGAGGGGTGTTGGGAGGTATGAGTGTATTTTGCATGTGGGTAGAATATAAGTTAATTTGCGGCCATGGGTGAACTGGTGGCAGATTTAAGTCACAGCCATAATGTATTTTGACAGTCTTGCTTGTGAAAAGATGGAGGCTATATCCCCTTTCCTTAATCTGAGTCTGACTACCTGATGAATGTAATATGACATTGTGTCAGCTTCTGGGACTAGACCTTAAGACACTGACAAAGGAGGAGAGCAAAATGGATGACTCGATGCAGTCAGGTGGAACAGCTGCCACTGGAGGGGACTGAGATGACTTGGGTGCTTTTAACAGATCTTCAGAAGGAAGGTGCTGAGAGTGGACAAGGGGAAGACACAGAAGCTCAGCTGAAAGGGGAGAAAGCTGGGAATCTGCATGGGATGACCATGCACCAGGACTCATTTTTGGATCACAACAGCTCCGGGGGAACAGGGGAGTTGAACTGGCAAGAAGTAACCCACTCTCACCATGGCCTCTGGAACCCTGGTAGGATAAGGTCCCTTCACCACCACAGACACTCAAGTTGGCAGGGAGAGCTGCTTAGAGAAGTGTTAGGGGCAGTAAACCAGCTGTTGGAGCCCAGAGGGCTTGGTGTGGAAGTGGCTATTATGGAGCATAGCCAGGGATGGCCAACTCCTAGGCTCAATGGGAGATTTTAGCCCTAGGGGAACTGTTGGACCTGATCTCTGAATAGTGGTCTAGCCCATCAGATGGGGATGTTTCAACCTGAGCACCCCTTGGTCTACTGACCTCTCCAGGGGCCCCAGCCTGGCCATGCCTGCTTGCAGGGCAATCTTGGGTGTTTTGGGAGCCCACACTATAGTTTCTGAGTTGATGGACTGTGCCTGACTAGTGGAAAGCTCCAGCAAGGTGGCCCCTATGGCTATGTACCAGCTCACTTGCTCCCTCTTCATACTGCAGCTTTTCCTGGGCCAATGGCAATTCCTCACATAAATCTGTTGGCTCATATCTGCATGGGCAGGTTTTGCTTTCCTTGCCTCACCAGAGTGCAGGAGTGCAGTCTGCCCCCTACCCCACTGCCATTGCAGACAGCCTTGGTGGGCACAGAGCCAGTAAGCCCCACCCCTACCAGTGCGCTAACATTGCGAAGATAAAAGCAGATCTTCCTCTACCCTGAGTGATCACTCCTGCTTGTGGGGCACAGATAAGGCACCCAGACCTATGCCCACCAACATCACGTCCCAAGCTAACACCACCTCCAGTGCAACAGCACACACAGTCTCCAGCAAGGGCCTTTCTCCCACTTTTACCCATACTCTTCCCACCAGTTGCATTGCCTCTGCCACTGTGGTGAATGCCTGCAGGGAGGGAAGCAAACATCCTGGCACCTGCTGGTACTCTGCCACAACTGCTACATCTCAGCCCTCCCATCCTCCACCTCCAGCACAATGGATTCCAAACCTTGAAGAGCCAGAGAACAAAGTCAGGGCCCAATACAAGTACCCTAGAATTAGGGTATGCAGTCCAGGAGTTGGGGGCTGATGACTGGTCCCCTAAAATCTTCCAGAAAGGAAGCAAGTCATTCAAATCCACCTTATACCACAATCAAACCCTTAAGGTCATCAAATATGATTTAAATAAATTCAAAAGTCAGCAACCTCAAAGATATAATAGATTGAGACTTTTACACCCCACTGACAATATTAGATCATTGAGACAGAAAATTAACAAACATATTTAGGACCTGAACTCACCTCTGAATCAAGGGGACCTGATAGATATCTACAGAACTCTCCACCCAAATTCAGCAGAATATACATTCTTCTCATGGTCACATGGCATTTACTCTAAAATTGATTATATAATTAGAAGTAAAACACTCCTCAGCAAATGCAAAAGAACTGAAATCATAACAATGTACAATTCATTGGACCATAGTGCAATCAAATTAGAAATTAAGACTAAGAAATTCACTCAGAACCATACAATTATGTGAAAATTGAATAACCTCCTGAATGACTTTTGGGTACATAATGAAACTAAGGCAGAAATCAAGAAGCTTTTGGAAAATAATGAGAACAAAGATACAACAAACCAGAATCTCTAGGATTCAGCTAAGGCAGTGTTAAGAGGGAAATTTATAACACTAAATTCTCACATCAAAAAGTTAGAAAGTTAGAAAGATCTCAAGTTAATAACCTCACAACAAAAAGAACTAGAGATCCAAGAGCAAACAAATCCTAAAGCCATCATAAGACAAGAAATAACCAAAATTAGAGCTGAACTGATGGAGACTGAGACACACAAAACCATTCAAAAGATCAACAAATCTAGGAGCAGGTATTTTGAAAAAAATTAATAGAATAGACCACTCACCAGACTAAAAAAGAAGAAAAGAGAGAAGATTCTGATAAACACAATCAGAAATGACAAGGGGGATATTACCACTGACCCCACAGAAATAAAAACAACCATCACAAAATATTATAAATACCTCTATGCACATAAACTAGAAAATCTAGAAGAAATGGATAAATTCCTGGACACACACACCCTCCCAAGACAGAATCAGGAAGGAATTGAATCCCTAAACAGATCAATAATGAGCTCTGAAATTGAGTCAGTAATAAATAGCCTATACCAACCCAAAAAAGCCCAGAACCAGAAGGATTCACAGCTGAATTCTAACAGATGTACAGAGAATAGCTGATACATTCCTGCTGAAATTATTTGAAAAAAATGGGGAAGAGGGACTCCTCCTTAACGCATTCTAACTCATCATCTTGATACCAAAACCTGGCAGAGATACAATAGGAAAAGAAAACTTCAGGCCAATATCCTTGATGAACATCATGCAAAAATCCTAAAAAATAAATACTGGCAAACTGAATCCAGCAGCACATCATAAAGTTTATCCACCGTGATCAAGTGGGTTCTATCACTGAGATACAAGGTTGGTTCAACATATGCAAACCAATAAATGTGATTAATCACACACACAGAACTAACACAAACCACATGATTATCTTAATAGATTCAAGAAAGGCTTTAGATAAAATTCAACACTACTTTATGTTAAAAACTCTCAATGAACTAGGTATTGAAGGAACATATTTTAAAGTAATAAGAGCCAGCTATGACATAGCTACAGCCAACATTATACTGAATGGGCAAAAGCTGGCAGCATTTCCTTTGAAAATCAGCACAAAATGAGGATGACCTCTCTCACTACCCCTATTCAACATAGTTTTGGAAGTCCAACCCAGGGCAAGCAGACAAGAGAAAGAAATAAAGGGCATCCAAATAGGAAGAGAGGAAGTCAAACTACACCTGTTTGAATGAAATTAAGATGACATAATCCTAAATCTAGAAAACACCATGGTCTCGGCTCAAAAACTTCTTAAGCTGATAAACAACTTCAGCAAAGTTTCTGGATATAAAATCAATGTGCAAAAATCACTGACATTTCTATACACCAGCAATAGTCAAGCCAAGAGTCAAATAAGGATGCAATCCCATTCCCAACTGCCACAAAAAGAATAAAATACCTAGGAATACAGTTAACCAGGGAGATGAAGGATCTCTACAAGGAGAACTACAAAACACTGCTCAGAGAAATCAGAGATGACACTACAAATGGAGAAACATTCCATGCTCATGGATAGGAAGAATCAATGTTGTAAGAATGGCCATAATCGCCCAAAGCAATTTATAGATTCAATGCTATTTCTCTTAAACTACCATTATTATTCTTCACAGAACTAGAAAAAAACTATTTTAAAATTCATATGAATGAAAAAGGAGTCCAAATAGCCTGAATAGCCAAGGTAAAAAGAACAAAGTCTAAGCAAAAAGAATAAAGCTGAAGGCATCATGTTACTTGACGTCAAACTATACTACAGGGCTACAGTAACCAAAACAGGATGGTACTGGTACAAAAACAGACACATAGACAAATGAACAGAACAGAGAACCCAGAAATAAGGCCACACACCTACAACTATTGGATTTTGATAAATTTGAAGAAAAAACAAGCAATGGGGAAAGGATCCTCTCTTCAGTGAATGGTGCTGGGAGAACTGATTAGTCATATGCAGAAGATGGAAACTGGATCCCTTCCTCATATCATGTACGAAAATTAACTCAAGATGGATTAAAGACTTAAATGTAAAACCCAAAACTATAAAAACCCTGGAAGACAACCTATGCAATACTATTCAGGACTTAGGAGCAGGCAAACATTTCATGGCAAAGATTGCAAAAGCAATTTCTGCAAAAGCAATTTCAACAAAAGCAAAAATTGACAAATGGGATCTAATTAAACAAAAGAGCTTCTGCATAGTGAAGGGAACTATCAACAGGTAAACAGACAACCTACAGAATGGGAGAAAAAATTTGCAACCTATGCATCCAACAAAGGTCTAATATCCAGCATCTATAAGGAGCTTTAACAGATTTATTTTAAAAACCCCAAATAACCCCATACAAAGTGGGCAAAGGAGATGAACATACTCTTTTCAATAGAAGACATACATTCATGCTTGTTGAATCATATGAAGACAAGCTTAACATCACTAATAATTAGAGAAATGCAAATCAAAACCACGGTGAGATACCACCTCACACCAGTCAGAATGGTTATTAATAAAAAGTTAAAAAATAACAGATACTGGTGAGGTTGTGGAGAAAAAGGAATGTTTATATACTGTTGGTGGGAGTGTAAATTAGTTTAGCCATTGTGGAAGACAATGTGGTGATTCCTCAAAGACCAAAAAACAGAAATACCATTCAACCCAACAATACCATCACTGGGTATATCCCCAAATGAATATAAATCATTCTATCATAAGACACATGCACACATGTGCTCATTGCAGCACTATTGACAATAGCAAAGACATGGAATCAACCTAAATGCCCATCAATGATAGACTGGATAAAGAAAATGTGGTACATATATACCATGGAATACTATGCAGCCATGAAAAGAATGAGATCGTGTTTTTTGCAAGAATATGAATGAAACTGGAGGCCATTATCCTTAGTAAACTAACACTGGAACAGAAAACCAAATACCACATGTTCTCACTTATAAGTGGGAGCTAAATGATGAGAACATATGGGCACATAAAAGGGAAAAACATACACTGGGACCTATTGGGGAGTGGAGGGTGGGAGAAGGGAGAGGTTCAGAAAAAATAACTAATGGGTACTAGGCTTAATAGCTGGATGGCAAAATAATCTGTTCAATAAACCCCCAAGACACAAATTTACCTACATAACAAACCTGCACGTGTATTCCTGAACTTAAAATTTTTTTAAAAAGTTTTATCTTCAATTCCTGTATATTGAAATGGTTGCTCTTGGAACCCTGCACCATGTTGTGAGGAAGCCCAAGCAGCATAGCATGTGGAGAAGCCCAGGAGGAAAGAAACTGAAGCTCCAGACCCACAAAAGCCAAAAAAAAAAAAAAAAAACCGAAAGTCAACAATGAACTCCTTTTCTCTCTTACCACATGTAACATCCTGCATGTTGTTAATTTATTTCTTAAAAGTTACTGTTATTTTTATCATATATACAAAATAATGTACATAATATACATGAATAGTACTAATAACTGTGTACACAATCCCAGTTTAAAAAACAGAACATCAGAAATACAGAGGACCCTATTCCTTTCCCATAATATATTCTACTCTCTCATTCCAAAGGTCTTTAATGTCCTGAAGTTTGTGTTTAATCACTACCTGCTTTTCCTTAAAGTTTTAAAAGTTTATATGTATCTGTATGTAACATATGGTTACTTTTCTCTGATTTTATACTTTATATAAGTGTAATAATATATTATGCATCCTCTGTAACATATTTTCCTCAAAGTATTTGACATCTTTCCATCTTGATTTGTGCAGCTATATTTTATTTATATTATAATTTTGCATTATAAATTAATTATACTCTTAATATTTGTTAATATAATTTAGTTTATATACCATTTCATTATATAACTATGTAAAATTTATTGGTTTTATGGCTTATGGACTTTTGGGTTGTTTCCTAATTTTACAATTGCTATCAACACTATCATGTTCTCCTACTTGTTTCCTTGTGTATGTGTGCCTTTGGGAGTACAAATACATGGTGATAGGATATGCGCATTGTCAATCTACAAAGTAATATTGACTGTAACAAAGTGTTTGTACCCAATTATATTTTTATCAATATAGTAGTCTTTATTTCTCCTTATCCTTATCAATACACATATTGTCAGACTTTTTTAACTTTTGACAATGTACAGGAGTGAAATAACATCTCGAGTAGTGATATTGTGATATCTAGTTTTAAAGTACATATTCTTGACTGCTAACGAAGCTGGGCAGCTTCTCCCAGGCAATCTTATCTCCTCATATGAGAAGTGCCTTTTCATATCTTTTATTCACTTCTTTTTCTATTGGTCTCTTGGTTGTTTTGTAATTGGTTTACAGGAATTCTTTATTTCCTGCTAATTTGTTCTCTGTTATATATAGCTATCTATCTTATCCCAGTTTTCTCTTATAATTTTATTAACATTATGATGTCTTATGATGATCTGAAGCTTATTTGTTCTTTATCTTTAGTGACTTCTCTATTTTGTTTAAGAAATCCTGCCACACCACAAAGATACAAAAAATTTGTCTCTATCTTCTTTTAAGAATTTTATAGATTAGTTATTTATATATGTCCTTAATTCAACCAAAGCTGATTTTTGTGTAGTGTGATGTAGGAATCTAAATTTATTTTTTCCAGTAGTCATAACCAGTGTTCCACC